ACCACCCCCATTCCTAACACTGATACTGTACTCCAAATGCAGCTTCAAGATCAAATAAATCAATTTGAGCATTTCTGCTTGCTGTTTTAAAAAAAAAAAAAAAAAAAACAAAGCAGTTAGTTCATTTCTCTTGACACTTTTTTTTTAAACATCTTTATTGGAGTAAAATTGCTTTACAATGGTGTGTTAGTTTCTGCTGTATAACAAAGTGAATCAGCTATACATATACATTTATTCCCATATCTCCTCTCTCTTGCGTCTCCCTCCCACCCTCCCTATCCCACCTCTCCAGGTGGACACAAAGCACGGAGCTGATCTCCCTGTGCTATGCGGCTGCTTCCCACTAGCTATTTTACATTTGGTCATGTACATACGTCCGTGCCACTCTCTCACTTCGTCCCAGCTTACCTTCCCCCTCCCCGTGTCCTCGAGTCCATTCTCTACATCTGCATCTTTACTCCTGTCCTGCCCCTAGGTTCTTCAGAACTTTTTTTTCTAGATTCCATATATATGTGTTAGCATATGGTATTTGTTTTCCTCTTTCTGACTTACTTCACTCTTTATGATAGTCTCTAGGTTCATCCAACTCACTACAAATAACTCAATTTCGTTTCTTTTTATGGCTGAGTAATATTCCATTGTATATGTGTGCCACATCTTCTTTTTTTTTTTTGGTACACGGGCCTCTCACTGTTGTGGCCTCTCCCGTTGCGGAGCACAGGCTCTGGACGCGCAGGCTCAGCGGCCATGGCTCACGGGCCCAGCCGCTCCGTGGCACGTGGGATCTTCCCAGACCGGGGCACGAACCCACGTTCCCTGCATCGGCAGGCAGACTCTCAACCACTGCGCCACCAGGGAAGCCCGTGCCACATCTTCTTTATCCATTCATCTGTTGATGGACACTTAGATTGCTTCCATGTCCTGGCTATTGTAAATAGTGCTGCAATGAACATTGTGGTACATGACTCTTTTTAAATTATGGTTTTCTCAGGGAGTATGCCAGGTATTGGGATTGCTGGGTTGTATGGTAGTTCTATTTTTAGTTTTTTAAGGAACTTCCATACTGTTCTCCATAGTGGCTGTATCAATTTACATTCCCACCAACAGTGCAAGAGGGTTCCTTTTTCTCCACACCCGCTCCAACATTTATTGTTCGTAGATTTTTTAATGATGCCCATTCTGACTGGTTTAAGGAGATACCTCATTGTAGTTTTAATTTGCATTTCTCTAATGATTAGTGATACTGAGCATCCTTTCATGTGTTTGTTGGCAATCTGTATATCTTCTTTGGAGAAATGTCTGTTTAGACCTTCTGCCCATTTTTGGATTGGGTTGTTTTTTTGGTATTGAGCTGCATGAGCTGCTTGTGGAGATTACTCCTTTGTCAGCTGCTTCATTTGCAAATATATTCTCCCATTTTGAGGGTTGTCTTTTCGTCCTGTTTATGGTTTCCTTTGCTGTGCAAAAGCTTTTAAGTTTCATTAGGTCCCATTTGTTTATTTTTGTTTTTATTCCCATCTCTGTAGGAGGTGGGTCAAAAAGGATCTTGATGTGATTGATGTCATAGAGTGTTCTGCCTATGTTTTTCTCTAAGAGTTTTATAGTGTCTGGCCTTACATTTAGGTCTTTAATCCATTTTGAGTTTATTTTTGTGTATGATGTTACATGTTACATTCTTTTACAAGTAGCTCTCCAGTTTTCCCAGCACCACTTATTGAAGAGGCTGTCTTTTCTCCATTGTATATTCTTGCCTCCTTTATCAAAAATAAGGTGACCATATGCACGTGGGTTTATCTCTGGGCTTTCTATCCTGTTCCATTGATCTATATTTCTGTTTTTTTGCCAGCACCATACTGTCTTGATTACTGTAGCTTTGTAGTATAGTCTGAAGTCCAGGAGCCGGATTTCTCCAGCTCTGTTTTTCTTTCTCGAGATTGCTTTGGTGATTTGAAGTCTTTGTGTTTCCATATAAGTTGTGAAATTTTTTATTCTAGTTCTGTGAAAAATGCCATTGGTAGTTTGAAAGGGATTGCATTGAAACTGTAGATTGCTTTGGGTAGTACAGTCATTTTCACAGTGTTGATTCTTCCAATCCAAGAACATGGTATATCTCTTCATCTAATTGTATCATCTTTAATTTCTTTCATCAGGGTCTTATAGTTTTCTGCATACAGGTGTTTTGTCTCCTTACGTTTATTCCTAGGTATTTTATTCTTTTTGTTGCAGTGGTAAATGGGAATGTTTCCTTAATTTCTCTTTCAGATTCTTCATCATTAGTGTATAGGAATGCCAGAGATTTCTGTGCATTACTTTTGTATCCTGCTACTTTACCAAATTCACTGATTAGCTCTAGCAGTTTTCTGGTAGCATCTTTAGGATTCTCTATGTATAGTATCATGTCATCTGCAAACACTGACAGTTTTACTTCTTCTTTTCTGATTTGGATTCCTTTAACTTCTTTTTCTTCTCTGATTGCTGTGGCTAAAACTTCCAAAACTATGTTGAATAACAGTGGTGAGAGGGGCAACCTGTCTTGTTCCTGATCTTAGTGGAAATGCTTTCAGTTTTTCACCATTGAGAATGATGTTGGCTGTGGGCTTGTCATAAATGGCCTTTATTATGTTGAGGTAAGTTCCCTCTATGCCTACTTTCTGGAGGGTTTTTATCATAAATGAGTGTTGAATTTTGTCAAAAGCTTTTTCTGCATCTACTGAGATGGTAATATGGTTTTTCTCCTTCAATTTGTTAATATGGTTTATCACATTGATTACTTTGCATATATTGAAGAATCCTTGCATTCCTGGGATAAACCCCACTTGATCGTGGTGTGTGATCCTTTTAACGTGCTGTTGGATTCTGTTTGCTAGTATTTTGTTGAGGATTTTTGCATCTATGTTCATCAGGGGTATTGGCCTGTAGTTTTCTTTCTTTGTGACATCCTTGTCTGGTTTTGGTATCAAGGTGATGGTGGCCTCGTAGAATGAGTTTGGGAGTGTTCCTCCCTCTGCTATATTTTGGAAGAGTTTGAGAAGAATAGGTGTTAGCTCTTCTCTAAATGTTTGATAGAATTCGCCTGTGAAGCCATCTGGTCCTGGGCTTTTGTTTGTTGGAAGATATTTAATCACAGTTTCCATTTCAGTGCTTGTGATTGGTCTGTTCATATTTTCTATTTCTTCCTGGTTCAGTCTCCTCAGGTTGTGCCTTTCTAAGAATTTGTCCATTTCTTCCAGGTTGTCCATTTTTGGCATATAGTTGCTTGTAGTAATCTCTCATGATCCTTTGTATTTCTGCAGTGCCTTCACACTTTTTTAATGTAAGGTATTTGTCAAAAATCATCCTACACTGTCAACGCAGGGGACACGGGTTCAACCCCTGGTCCGGGAAGATCCCACACAATGTGGAGCAACTAAGCCCATGCACCACAATTACTGAGCCTGTGCTCTAGAGCCCACGAGCCACAACTAATCAGCCTGCACGCTGCAACTACTGAGCCCACGTGCCACAACTGCTGGAGCCCGCATGCTCTAGGGCCCCCGTGCTGCAACTGCCGAGCCTGCATGCTGCAGCTACTGAAGTCCGCATGCCTAGAGCCCGTGCTCCACAAGAGAAGCCACTGCAATGAGAAGCCCGCGCGCCGCAACAAGGAGTAGCCCCCCTCACAGCAACTAGAGAAAGCCCACACACAGCAACAAAGACCCAAAATGCAGCCAAATATATATATATATAAATAAATAAAAGAAACTTAAAAAAAATAATCATCCTTCAGAGCCCTTACAGATTATGAAAAAAACAAAAGAATATTAAATCTAGGTTAAATTTATGATAAGTGAAATTTTTAAGTGCTATATTGATTTTTGATAGTATTTTAGGACTCATATAATGAATGTATATGTTTATTTAGGCTGATTTAATAGGACTTAGAATTTGTCATGACTATTTTAGGTAACCATGAAGGTTTATAGTAAATGTACTTGAAAGATAGTGTTGACTGTAACAAGATTTGAATTTATGTCAGTGTCTTAAGCAACACTTTAATCCCAAATTATAATTTTCTTTTATTTGGAAAATATGTTCCCCTTTAAAATATAATTTGTAAATATATTATCACATAAATTATATAAATGAACTCCCCACACAGCTCGAATCCCACAAAAAAAGACAGCTGGTTTAGAAATCTCTCCTCTATAAATATCACACTCCTGGTGAAATTGAGTCTGTTCATGGAAAATCATTAAAATATGTGCTAAAATTAGAAAATGCAAAAGACTGTCTAACCTTCAATTTCAGGAAAATGCTGCTTGAAACAAGGTGAAAAAAGAGATAAATTATGTATTTATATTTAAGGTAGGCTTTTTAAAAAATAGTATCATAATAACTGAGTAAAATTCTGAAATGACACCAACAATTTGAATAAAAACAACATTCATCTATCAATACATGCAGGATTTCCTTAAGAAGGAACCATTGCTTGTAAAGCACATTTTTCCTTTTCTCTATATATCTACATGTGAGCAAATACATATCCTTACTTAAAAGTTCTGATGTGTGCATTTGAAATAAATGTAAAAAGAAGGAACAGTGTTAGAAAAACATTCTTTTCGGCATTCTGTTACCCTGAAATCCCCTCTCATACTCATACAGCTCAGAGACTGCACTTGGACATAACAGGACATTGTTTTGCAAAATGGATTGTTATTCACTAACTGTCTCCTAGATTGCCACAGCTGAGCTTTTCCACTTCCAATTTAAAATACTGCTCTAATCAGTCCTTAGAAGGGCTACGACCGCTCATGTTGCAATACAAAATTGTCTTTTCCAATTGATCTTGGTGACTGAAGTGGTATGATGAGGAATCCTGATTAAATAACTGCTTTTACTTCAGTGACATATTTGTCATTGTCCCTTTTATTTAGGTTGAGTTTATATCTGGTTTGTACTGTTTTTTTTAAAGGCAGTTTGCATTTTTAAAGTTCAATAAAAATGAATAACCCAAAACATACTTCTGTCACCATGAAATTTCTTGCACGTCTTTACAGCAACAAAAATATCCTTCTTCTTCACTGGATTTCCCTAAAAAAAGAAAAAAAAAATATACGCATTCATGAGTCAGTGTGTCTTAACCGCACATCCACATTAGCTCTCACATGCTCTCAAGTTCAAATTCACCAATGTCAGGGACATCAAACTTGTCTCCAGGATTAAGTTTTAGGGGAAAAAGGGAAATGTAGCTCCGCTGACCACAAAGCCTTTGCTCAGCCAGACCGGCACCAGGATCCCAGCTCTGCATTTCCACTATGTCACCTGGACGAGTGTCCTCAGCTCTCTAAACTTCCGTCTGCTCATTTAGGAAACTGGGATGATAACCACCCGTACGGCTGCTTTTATTACTACTATTTGTTAAGCGCCTCACAGGTACCCAGTAAATGTTGGCTACCTTCCCTTTCCTTTTTCCAGCTGGTGAAGATTTTGACAAAGGGAGAGAGAAGTAGGGGGATGTTTTAGTGTAAAATAAGAGATGACTCCCTTCTGGGGGCCCAGCCTTACTTTGATGTTAAAGTATTTTTATGGCCCTGTATCGTCTACCCAAATCTAGGCAACAGCAATGTTCTGTCCTCTGCCGAAGGCAGGATAACTTCCAACACTTTGGAGGAGCCTGGAGCCCTGCCCTGGTTCCAGCCAAAGCCGATCACTCAGATGAAGGGGCTCATAGAGGGGCTTGCGGACAATCCACACCCAGGCCGTGGGCACTTCATGGAGGGAGCTGGGCTGGGCGGTGTGTTCTGGCCCCTTTATCGCTATCTTAGCCCTGAAGTGATACTCAATCCTAATTCTGCATCATTTGGGGCTGGTTTATAGCGACACGTAACTGCAGTTTTGTCATGTCACTCAAGGCACTAGGAGGTCAGCCCCTCCAGATTGTCCAGGAGAACATTAGAGAACAAGCAAGCATAATGTCTAAAAAGACACCTCCCCCTCAGGAACTGTGCCAATAGTACAGATTCTCTCCCACTGTTGCAGCGTGTGTGTGTCTGTGTGTACATATATTCCTCTTTGAAAATGCAACACACAGACTTCTGTATCAATGAGTTGAAAATAACAGACAATATTTGAGGTAGTGAATATATTTTTCATTATGAGGAAGGATTGTTAACCACCCAGTTGAGTCCCGGGGTCTTCAGGCCCATCCTGGAGACTGGTCCAAGGGTCTACCCTAACAAACAAGTAGGTTCATTTTAAAAGTTCTGGACAGTCTCAGGTGAGATCAAATTAAGAAAGTAAAGGGGGTGGGCTCGAGGAGAAGGCTTAGGAATAACAGGAAATGTCTGAGATTGCCTTTCTAGGAAATAGAATAGGAATTCCAACAGCTACATGCTACACCTTCAACAAAAGAAATGACTCCAGGCTACACCTCCGCAGCTCTCAGTGCCACTCTGCTCTCTTCTCTTGTGCAAAACAGGGTAACGACAGTGCTCACCTTATAGGGCCAGTATCCCCAGAAACATGATATACAGTTCTCACGTGGCACATGGCAGATGTTGGGGTTTTTTAGGATGGAAAGTGCTAGGACAACACTGTGCACAGCATGTATGTTTTCCTTTGACACGCAAGGAAGCTGTCCTTTTATTACTTACGCAAAGCGGTAGAAAAGAATGAAATGTGGTGGCACAGGAAGAGTCTACCCCGTCTGTACAAAACTCAGGCACAGGAGTGAGGGGCGGTCCATCACCTCTGTCCCAGATGTAGAGAGCAATCTGTCACACAGGAAACTGGCATGAATGAAAGCTCTTAACGAGCACCACAGGTCCACGAAGGTATGAAACATCTCAAGGGCAAGCAGACCTTACCTTCTCTAGAGAATATTAAATTGAACCACATCAATATGTGAGCATTCAACAGTTTTGGTTTTTTTTTTTTGCGGTACGCGGGCCTCTCCCTCTTGTGTCCCCTCCCGTTGCGGAGCACAGGCTCCGGACGCGCAGGCTCAGCAGCCATGGCTCACAGGCCCAGCCGCTCCGCGGCATGTGGGATCTTCCTGGACCGGGGCACGAACCCGCATCCCCAGCTTCGGCAGGCGGACTCTCAACCACTGCGCCACCAGGGAAGCCCTTTGGGTTTTTTTTACTTACAAAAAGAGTAATTCCATGTGGAGCAATCTAATCTTTTATTAACCGTAAACAATTAATTAAGAATCAGTATTCTGACCTCCAAAAAATTCCACATTGTCATAAGCAATTTTAGGGAAGCTATTTTAGGGATTCTAAAACATCACAGAGAAAGATAAAAGGAAATATCATGACTCTGGTTTCCTGCAGGATGGTAATTACATACCCTGAAAAACCGACTGGCTGAAAATATCTAAAAATATCGGGATAAAATATTTTTAAAAGCATTTTAAATGTATTGCTAACTTGGCAGAAAAATGTGGAGCTTATGAGGACAAAAATGGAAAGTGAGAACCTGGGGAAAAAGGCCACTGAGGGTAGTTTTCTCCAGTAGGTATCAGCTGGGCTCTGAGGATGCCAAGGTTCTGATGCATGTTAAGAGAATAAAGCCCATGACCTGCCCAAGGTGGGGCGTGTATAACAGCAAAGCCCCAAAACTGGCACTAGATGGAGGGAAAAATCATCTCCAGATATCTTGAGATTCTGTAACCAAAGGCAGGCCTCCCTCGTTTGTCACCTACGTGTTCCAGAAACACCTCGGGGTAATTTAAAGTGGCCCTAAGTCAGCCTGAGCCTCTAGCAGCTGCGGCAAATCTAATGCAAATCCTTACCGAGGAGCCCACAACCTTAATACAGGACGGGGGACGGCCACAGTTCCCAAGGAGCTAAAGTACTCGGAAAAAATCACAAAAAGTAGTACAAAGAGATGAGATGATGGGCAAGAGCCAGCAGACACAGCTTGCTCAGGCCCAGAAGACTTTGGGGATGGGAATGATCAAGCACAGAATAGAAAATTACTGTTTCATATATTTTTATAAAGAAAAGAAAAACTTTAAAACATGAGCAAAATTTCTGATAGATTGTACAAGAGAGCAAAATTGAAAAAGAAATGTCTAGAACTTGTAGATGTGAAAAATGCAATGCTTAGGGCTTCCCTGGTGGCGCAGTGGTTGAGAGTCCGCCTGCCGATGCAGGGGACACGGGTTCGTGCCCTGGTCCGGGAAGATCCCACATGCCGCGGAGCAGCTGGCCCCGTGAGCCATGGCTGCTGAGCTTGTGCGTCCGGAGCCTGTGCTTCACAACGGGAGAGGCCACAGCAGTGAGAGGCCTGCGTACCGCAAAAAAAAAAAAAAAAAGAAGAAGAAAAATACAATGCTTAAAATGAACATTTTAATGGTGAGGATAAACAGCATATTAGACACAGCTGAATAAAAACTAGGGAACTAAAAGATGAAGTCCTCCAAGTTATTTGAAATGTAGCCCAGCTAGAAACAGAGATGGGGAATGTAGAAGTTCAGACCTCTAGTATATACCTAAAGTTCCGGAAGGAGATAACAGAGGGGATGAGAAAATAGCTGAAAAGACAACGGCTGAGAATTTTTTTTAAATGTAATTTAAAAAAAATAGGATTGCTTAACAATCCTATTATAGAAAGGCCCAATGAATTCTAAGCAGGATTAGAAAAAAAGGAGTCTGCACCTAGACATATATATACCATAGTGAAACTGCAGAACACCAAAGACAAAGAACAATCTTAAAAGCAGCCAGAGAAACGGAAGATTACTGACAATGGAACCACGTAAGAGTGGTGGTTGATTTCCTAACACAACAGCAGTAACAGAAGCCAGAGCACAGGGGAACAACAGTATTGTGATGAGAGAAAATGTCTCACAACCTAGAATTGTACACACAACGCAACTATGTCTCAAGAACAAAGCTGAAATAAATTATTATTTTTTTAATTATTTATAGTCCCTATATATTTATTTATTTATTATGGCTGTGTTGGATCTTCGTTTCTGTGCGAGGGCTTTCTCTAGTTGTGGCAAGCCGGGGCCGCTCTTCATCACAGTGCGCGGGCCTCTCACTATTGCGGCCTCTCTTGTTGCGGAGCACAGGCTCCAGACGCGCAGGCTCAGTAATTGTGGCTCACGGGCCCAGTTGCTCCACGGCATGTGGGATCTTCCCAGACCAGGGCTCGAACCAGTGTCCCCTGCATTGGCAGGCAGATTCTCAACCACTGCGCCACCAGGGAAGCCCCTGAAATAAATTATTTTTAAAGAAAAAAAAAAAAACGGAGAATTTGCCACTTCACTAAAAAGGAAATTCTGAAGGATATACTTCAGGAAGAATAAAAATGATCCCCGTTGGCAAGTCCAAGAAGCAAAAGAGAATAGTGAACACAGACACGGCAAATACAGGGTTAAGCTAATACAAATGATTTAACTGTATAAAGTAAGGACAATATCTGAGTTGCGGGGTTGAAAAAAAAGAAAGAACAAAAATACTGGACAAAAGAGCATAAAAACTGGGAGAGGGATAATCAGTTATTATGCTCAGGCCCTTAGATTTTTAGGCTATTGATTAATTAGCCACTTACTGAACATATTAAAGTACAGTAAGTCCCCTGCATACGAACAAGTTCCGTTCCAAGAGCGAGTTCATAAGTCCAATTTGTTTGTAAGTCCAACAAAGTTAGCCTAGGTACCCTACTAACTCAGTCGGCTATATAGTACTGCACTGTAACAGGTTTATAATATGTTTGCATCTTTGAGAGTTCGCAACTTGAAAGTTCGTATGTAGGGGACTTACTGTATTTAAAACAACCATTAAGGAACAGACATTGAGAATGAACTTCAAAAATAACAGAGGAGGGAAAAAAATGGAATAAAAATTTTAAAAATCTAAAAGAAAGCAAGGAAATTTTCAAAAGAAAAAAATGGGAGACAAAGGATAAAATAAAAGTGTTAGTAATCATGAAAAATGTAAATGTAAATTTGCTATATGGTTTGAAGATAAAGATTGTCAAACTGGGAGAAAAAAACAAACATGTCCTCTTTAAGAGAGATGCATCAAAAGAAGACACAAAAGAATTGAAAGAAAAAAATGAAAAACAATGATGAAGCAACACCAAAAGAAAGCTAGTATGGAAGTGTTCCTATCAACAAAGTAAATGCTAAGACAAAGAGCATTACTAGAGATAAAGATACATTTACTGGGAGGAGGTAACAATTCTAAACTTGTATGCATCTAATTAACATAGCCTCAGAGTATAAATAGCAAGAGTTGGCAGTTCCACAAAGAGACACTGTCACCACTATCATGGAAGATTTTCACATTCCTCCCTTAGTAAATGACGGATCAAGCAGACAAAATGAAAGTAGGAAAAGGGAGAGAGGGAGGAAATAAAATATGTGAAAAGCACAATAGATTAACTGATTAATCTATTTTTTCTTTAGTAGACGTAAAGAGAATATTATACCACCCCCAAATCAGAGCACTTACATCCTTTTCTCCATTTATGAAAAGTGAACGTGAACTAGGCCATTAAGCAAACCTAAAAATATTTCAAATGACTGTTATACAGACCAATCATACTAAGTTAGAAATCAATAACAACACACAAATATACTGAGTCACAATGAAAAATGTATTTTTTAAAGTCAGTCACAGTCAAAAAACAGTTTAAAAGCTTCTGCCCTAGAGAAACTCTTATAGATGATCATCATGACACTTGTCAAAAATATTCATAGAACTGGTGACTGCAACAGCAAAACCCAGTCGCAACCCGGAGGCCCACTACCAGCAGACTGGGCAAATACACTGTGGTATGGTCCTGGGAGAGACAGTTATACAAAGTGACAATAGTTCATTAAAGCCACACGTATCAACACGGATGATTTTCAAATTAAAACATTATTCAGGGTACAGTTCTGTTTATATAAAGGCAAGAAGGATGTAGAACTACATATTATGCAGAGATACATTCATATGTTATCAAATATGAAGAAAACGGGGAGAGGGAGAGAATTCAAGAAAGTTGTTGCCTCTCGTTAGAACAAAGGGGGACCCCCCCTGGGGAGATACTTACAGGTCGCCTCCAAGCAGCTGATCAAGTTCAATCTCTTAAGCATAGATATTCTGACTGATCTTTATACCTTTCACGTATGTTAGAGGGTTTTTTTGTATGTTATTCAATGTTTCATAGACTCCCAAACCTGGGTATCTATACCTGAGCTGACTTTTCATTAAAAATATCTAGACAGGGCTTCCCTGGTGGCGCAGTGGTTGAGAGTCCGCCTGCCGATGCAGGGGATGTGGGTTCGTGCCCCGGTCCGCGAGGATCCCACATGCCGCGGAGCGGCTGGGCCCGTGAGCCGTGGCTGCTGAGCCTGCGCGTCCGGAGCCTGTGCTCCACAACGGGAGAGGCCACAACAGTGAGAGGCCCGCATACCGAAAAAAAAAAAAAATCTAGATAGACCCTGGCTTTCAACTAGTCATTCTTTCCCTTCTGTGGAAAAGAATGATTTTTGACATGAATATTTCTCCTCAAATAACCTATTTCATCATTTAGAAATACTCCCCAAATTAAAATCTTGTGAGTGCCCTTTTCGCTCCTGGCAGTCTACCAGCACTGTTGGACTGAGTCACGATTGGCCCCAATGTCCTAAAATACAGATTCCTACAGAGGGAAAGGCAGGTCTGTTTCAGGCAGTCAGATGTACGCATGAAGAGACCTTCTTGATGATGATTCAGGAGAGATTAATGGATTAAGGACGGGACGCCCGCCACCTGCCTCCAGGACGACTGGTCACAGATGTCCACTAAATGCCAGGGTGCTGGGGGACCAGCTGGCCCAATTCTGCTCCACAGGGTCCAGCACAAGAGACATGTCGAAGACATATGTGCAACCAAAGCACAAAAAAAGACCAGAGGTATTTTACTGACATTTTTGCATGTTTTAAAAAAATCCATCTCTGGACCCATCCACCTAGCTTAAAAACAAAGGATGAAGAATCACAGACACAACTGTTTTCTCCACCGTTCCTTCTCCACCTACGTGACCAAAATGGGCTTAAAGAAGAAAGCCCTCACAGACTGTAGCATGTGCAATTTCCTTGTTGGGAAAATATCTATGTGAATGGCGGAGGGGATGCACCTTTCAGGGAACACAAGACACCTTTTGTATCAAAAGACATGAATTCTTGATTACAAAGACTTTTAACCAAACAAATCATGACCTACCTCATATTTTAAATCGATTGTAAAGTCGGATTTCAGGGACTCACTCTTCAATCTCTTGGTAAGCCTAGAAAATAGAGACAATTTGAGTTTTTTGAAAAAAACCAAAAAAGCATAAACAAAAGAACACATTCTTGAGACTTTCTAATGTTTGAAAACAAATAAAAATATAAATTTTATGACAAAAGTAAGAGTTTAATTTCCTTGAGGCAAAGAACTATGAAAACACAATTATTTGTGGACCAGGACACGAATGCAAGGCTTGTTGCAAACGTAGTGTTCGTTATTCAACATCTGGAAAATAACATAAAACACAATACGATACAATACATGTCTTTTTAAAAGCCACGGAGTGTGCTGACTCCTGATAATCCTTGACTAAATAATGACAGAGAAAGAGAAAGAAAAGGAAAAGAAAAAAGCCTGCCTGATAGAGAAACAGAAGTTGCTACTTTTCAGTCTCCTACTTTTAATGACCCTATGAATTACAGTTTGTGGAGTTTCCTGGGGGAGAGAGCATGTGGTTTCGGGAAAGAATAACATTTTCAAGTCATTTTCTTGCTTCAGAAAAGCCGTAATGGCTCTTTTCAACACAGAAGAGAGGCCCAGACCCCTGGGCCCCGGCTCTAGAGCCCCGTGCTCCGCAGTGTGCACCAGCCTCCCCCGAAGCGCTCTCCTGGCCACACGGCGGCCCAGTTTGCTCCGACCCAACCTCTACCTGGCAGCCTTTTCTCCAAGACCGAATTCAAGGGTGTCCAGACCTGCCCACGAGAATAAATGGAAACTTCCTTTGCCCCCAGCGTGGGAAGCACAGCCCCATTCATCACACATGGTGAGCCCCCTGCGCCCCCCTCCTGCTCTGCACCCCAAACAGCACCCACCGCCCGGGTCCAAACGAGCACTCGGTGAGCGATCTGAAGGGATGAGGGCAAATCGCAGTACATTCCTCCATTCCAGGCTGAGTGAGGTAGAACGACATGCTTACCAAGACCACAGAACTGCCACAGGCTTTACGTTTATTACAGGGCTACAGACGGGACCCTCGTTTCAATGACAAACCTCCTAATAAATATTTTAACTACAAAGAATAATCGTAA